TCTGCGGGCTCTGATGTTCATAATTGATACCAGACATACTCCACTAAGAATCACTGCAGCGGCAACAATTGCAATTATGGCAGGCACACGAAGAGCCTTGGGTTTTTTTGAAGTGGGAGTTAGAGTACCATTGCCATTTGCTGAGCAAGGCTTATCCAAAGGGGCACCACAGAGGAAGGGGTTGTCAATAAATGCATAAGAGCCATAACCTTGAATAGCTGTAGGAATGGTGCCTGAGAGTTTATTGGAGGAGAGATTAAAATAGGTCAACTTTGTTAGGTTTCCAAGGGAAGAAGGAATTAGCCCAGAGAGTGAATTTTGTGACAGATCCAGATATTGTAATTTGGACAGGTTTCCTAGGTCTGGTGGGATGCTTCCGTTGAGCTGGTTTTTATGTAGGTCAAGGATTTCAAGGTAAGTCATGTTGTAAAGATTTTGAGGTATTTCTCCCTCCAAAGCATTACCAGAAACATCCCTGCAGCAACAATAACATAAAATATTTCTAAGTTAGATTGAAAGCAGTCTTGATGTAAATTTAAACAAATGTCGTTATAGTATTTGGACTCACAGCTCACGAAGAAACATGCAATTGCTTATATCATCAGGTATGTCACCAACAAGGCTGAGATTGTGCAAATCCAAGACCTGAAGTAGCTGAATGCTTGCAAGATTCTTTGGAATCGTTCCACTTATTGAATTATTGCACAACTGAATCACCAAAAGCCTATCCAGATTCCCAAGAACTTCTGGTATGCTCCCACTCAGCCTATTGTACCCCAACTCCAGAACCTTGAGACTTCTACAATTTGTAATGCTCAGAGGAAGCTCTCCCTCTAACTCATTCCATGAAGCATCAAAATACTCCATTCTCTCACTACAAGTTGCAATCTCAGGAATCTTCCCATTGAATACATTATGTGATACATTGAAATAAGTAAGATTGCTTGATCCAAGAACCCCAAATGGTGCTGAACCTTTAAACAAGTTGCTACCAAGATCCAATAGTTTCAAGCTCTGGCACGTTGAAAGCTGCTGCACAACATCACCCGATAAGGCATTTCTTCTCAGTGACAAATAATCCAACCTAGGAATATCGCAAATTCGCAAAGGAATGCCACCACTGAGATTGTTGAAGGAGACATCAAACCCTTCAAGATTAAGGCAATTAGCCAATGACTCCGGAATTGAACCCAAAAGAATGTTATGAGACAAAGAAACGAACTTGGTTTTGTAACAGTGCTTAAACAGAGCAGATGGAATCTCCCCGGTAAAACCATTCCTTGACAAATCCAGAAGCCTAATGCTAGGCAAGTCACCTATAAATTCTGGAATCGAGCCAGATAGCGCATTTGAGCTAAAATTGATCTTCCACAATGTTTGAATATCAGCATACTCATTTGGTATATTTCCCATAAATCTGTTCCCAAACAATGTCAAAACCCTCAGATATTTCAACCCGGACAAAGCCGGAGACAATACTCCACCTAAGCTACTGTTCCACAGAACTATCTTATCTACAAACCCAGCAGAGTTACAGAACACACCATGATAATCTTCACAAGGATTCCCACTAAGAACCCATGAAGCTAACTTATTGTGCGGATCATTTGTTATGTTTCCTTTAAATTGAAGCAGAATCTCTTTCTCAGTTACTGAGGAAACCACAATGATTGCCAAAAAGAAAGGAACAAAGCATAAAAGAGCATGAGAAAGACGAAAAGTATGAAGCTTTCTCATGCTAAACACAGTTAATGTGAGGTAAAAGGGGTCTACCCGTTTGGCATTATGGTAATTGGATCTGATGGAGATAAGATCCGAGTTCTGCTGCTACTTTGCTTTGAGTGTTGCACTTATTTTCGAGTATGAGAAATGCCCCATCACGATCATGACCAAATAGCAACATTTTTCACCTTCTGGGTCTCACTGGAATTGCAGAAATCTCTGAGAATTAGACCACATTTGTACAAAAACAAAGAAAATACTAGTTTTAGAATCTCTGCTGGTTTTTCACTTCTGGGTTTGTCTCAGTCAAGGTTCAGGATTCAGGAACAATAAAAGATCCAAGATTTATGAACTGTTTTGTCTTCTGGGTTGAAGCAAAGCATCAAAATTTGAGCTTGGCTTGAAGGGAAGGAAGAGAGAACAGAGAAGCAATGGAAGGCAGGCAGTTATGGGCTTAATTGTAAAAGGAAAATAAAAATGGAGGAAAATAGTGACCTCTGCCTTCGCTTGGCTGGAAAGGAAGCAGGTGAGAGAGTGGGAGCCAAAATTAATGTAACTGCTTATAATACTCTGAAAATTCAGCAGTTCGCCTCCACTTAACAGAAGCTGAACCACGTGCATGCCCTCTCCCTCTCTCTCTCTCTCTAATCTGTATGTTCTATGTAGTATCTAAACACAATGATAATGTTGAATTAACAAAAAGAGAGAGAGAGTTCAGACCCAAAAAAAACAAAGACCAATGTGTCTTTATTTGTTCTCTCTCAGAACCAAATTGGGCCTCTCTCTCTTTCACAGCATTCATTCTTCCCCACCAACCATGCCACCACTTCCCATCACCACCATAATTGCTATGCAAGAAAATTAAAGAAAAAGAAGAAAAAAAGAAAGTGAGCAAGAAAGAAGAAGAAGAGGGTCTTTCTAATTTTTGTCTGTACTATTTGCTGACAAGTGAACAAACTCTCTCTCTCCTTCTCTGCTTTTGCATTGAGCCGTTTCAATTGAAAGACTTTGAGAAGACATTTGTTCCCTTATTAACTAATATCATTAAATAATTAATCATCTAATCCCTATTTTAATTGTTCTCTCTATAATAATACGTATCCGATCATTAAAATACAAAACAAAAAGAAGAAGAAGAAGAAAAAGTCGTCTTTAACGTTGCATTTGTATACTATATTTTCCAGCTGGAAATGACAAATCATCTGCATTAACTATGATGTCAAGTTCTTAGATCATGCCACGTGGCCAACTGGGTCTCTTTCATTTTTTTTTTCTTTTCTTCTTCTTCTTTTTTCTCAATGTGAGTTTTGCATCACTTCTTCCATTCAAATCTTGTCTTTTTGCATTTGACTAGCGAAGATAGGAAGAATCTTCTAAGTGAACTTAGCAGCAGACCCCAACCCAAATTTTGCTTTTAAAAGAAAATTGAAGAAAAAGAAAAAGTTTTTAATTCGCCGAACTGCAACACGTCGGCAATTTCGTTGGTGGTCCAAAATTCACAGAAAAAGACCTATCACAGTTTTATAAATTTTTTAATATCTATTCTTTTTGCCCCAATTTAATTCCCTCCTCTCTATCTACGTCAAAGGATACTTCACAAAGAAGAACATGGAAAAGGGAAAAGAAATATTTATAAAAAAAGGGAAAAAAGAAGTGTAGTTGCACCACAAATGATAGAATATTGGGTTGGTTGATTGGTCAGGCGCAAGCACTGCACCGCACTGCACAGGATGGTTTGGTAGATGTAAAATGTGGAATTCATTCTTCACCTTGTGTCTCTCTGCAGAAATTGTTTGCCCATATACATTTGTTGTGGCATTGGATCCGAATCTTCTTTTTACTCTGAGCAAAACACAATATGTTACATGCAAATGGTTCATTTCAAGGGGAAATATTTAAATCTTTAGCATAGCACCTTCACTATGCCTGCCTTGGTGTGAAAGTGAGTGTGAGAATCAAAAAGCCTACGAGTGTTCATTCACCTTGGGTTTATTGGGCTCATGGACTTTGTTTTTAATCTAGTATTTCTTAGTTTAGCCCAGTGCATCAAATGTTCGGTTAGACTTTTAGCTAACCTAATTAAATAGACTTAATTAAGTTTAATACTTTTGAACCCAAATCAATTAATTTTTAATTGACTTGCAGGTCAGTGGTCTTAAGTTCGAACTCAAATGGTATCTTGGTAGTGTGTGCTTGAGAAACCCACTTCCTCACTTTGTAGATTAGGCTATTGTATACGGGCGTATGATCCCCCGCGACAATTTTAATGTCAAAACAATAATTTATCGGGTGAGTTTAGTCAATTTTGTAAGGATTTCGAGTGTTTATCAGATTGTGTCAAAACAATAATGTGCATGATGATGCGCATCCCATGATAAAGTAAAAAAAAGCATGAAAGTGCTGAAAAATGGAAGTTAATGACAAATAATGCTTGACACACTTGAGAATATTACTAAAGAAATCGTACATTGCAATCATTAACAATTCACACAACTCATATAATATCAAGAATCTCTTGCCCCTTTTTTTTTTTTTTTTTTTTTTTTTTTTGGGGTTTTGTTGGGTACATTTTAGATTTCAGTAATCCCACATTTGCTTTTGGTACGTCAATTAATATATAAAGTGGTTTATAGATTGTTGGTAGAGAAAATAATTAAATGAAAAAGCATACTTTTCTTGGGACCAAGAATCAGAATCTCTAACAAGTTTATGCTCAATGTTTATTTTAATAGTAACAAATTAAGTTATGATTTATCGATTTTTAGTCAACAAAGCATGATTAGCCACAAAGATAAACCTTGCCAGAATAAAGTTGGCAATAATCTGTTCAACAACGTTGAAGTCGGAAAACCAAGGAAGCTTTAGATCTTGTGAGGTCAACAGCACAACCATAGAGATGTCCATTGATTAGAGCATCAATTACTCAAGGTCATCTGCCATATGTATTGTAATTTGCAAGTTGTAAATTTCGGGGGTGGGGTGGGGGGGTGTGGTTCGAACTTCATTAACTACATGGCTCCTTCATTCCTGTTTTTTTTATGTAATATAAATGATAGTCTAAACTATTCATCGACCTCTATGTGAGAGAGAGAGAGAGAGAGGAGAGAAGAGAGGAAAGGAGGGGGGGGGGGGGGGGGGGGTTTTGTGGTTCGAACCTCATTAACTACATGGCTCCTTCATTGAAATGAACCATTCTTCCTTCTTGCCCATAACAGTTTGACTCGTGCGAAAATAACTCATTAAGAACAGCGAGAGGGAAAGTAAAATTGCAATACAGCTTACATGAATCTACATGACCAAAAACATCTACAATTAATATACTAATGAGTGGTTCTCTATATACAGTCAAGAATCTTGCAAGAGTCCAATTTGATCCTTCAAGCATCATTTCAATCATATACAAATGACAATTGAAAGAGAGAAAGTGAGAGAAAGAGAGAGAGAATGGAAACAAATTTAAGCTTGTTTTAAGGAACAAATGGTGGTATAGCAGTGTCAAGCATGTTGAATGTATGTCATGGCTTCTTCTCCTCCGTCTTCCACACAGTTCATATTGCATCAATTTTGAATACATTAACAATAACAGATGAAGTCATATGGTAAAAGAAACTTCACCCGCATGCAACCGTGTCTTTGGCCTGTCTTGTGCGGCAGATGGTTTTCCTGCAACAAAAACAAGAACCAAAAGCTTATTGCAATAGTGGTTCATCATCCTTTTGTAATTCCTTGAGTTGCCTTTTAGCATACACCGTGAAGAAAATTGTGGTGGCCACAGTCAAAGAGAAGCCAACAACAGTGAAGATTATTTGTGGGGCAGAAAGACCATGGTGCTCATGTGAAGCATCTGCCAACGTCCGTATTAGGATCCCACTGCAACAAAAGCAAAAGAAACACTTAGCTGATAAGTTAAAGCACATTCGATTGTTTGAAAATCTAAACAGAGAGCAATGTCCGTATTGGTAAGAACGAAACAGATGTATTCAGTTTTGCACTTGAGAAAAGAAAAAAGTTTAAAATGAGAACTACAAAGTTATTGCCCACAAAACATTTCGTATATTGTTCCCTCCTTTCCTGTCCAAACTTTTGCTAACAAGTCACAACCAGCTCAATGCACAGACCAGAATGAAAGAATGAAATAGAAGAAGAGCTACCAGTTAAGGATAGTGGGGGAAAAAGAGAAATAGGCTTTGTGGTTCAAAAAGCCTGTGGTGTACTCAAAGCCAGCCACACTGCACTTATCGTGGCTACAATTACCAGGAATTGATAGAACTTGGCAACCATTACCAATATAATGATAAGGTGTGAAGACATGCCAGATGAAAACCAATTCAGGGCCAGTGCCAAATGAAAGCCAATTCAGGGCAGTACTAAAGAAGGTCAGGATAGCTGTGACTTCCAACCATCCAACCATGCGACACCTATATTGCTTAATTGTTCCCCACATTTTCATGAAACATGAGAAATGGAGATTCATCAATGCAACATAAGAGTTAACATTCTTCTGAAACAAGGAAATTACCAATTGTGAATGAGTTCTGGAAAAAGATTCAACACACTTCCAAGATGACCTTTAATAGACGAACATGAACAAAATATACATATTTTTCCAAACACTACTAAATAAGTTAGGATAAGCACAATGCAATATATATATCATAAGATGGTCTTAAAACAATGCCCGAGTTCTAACAATAGAGACATGAAAACACATATGAATCTATGAGTAAGAGAGAAGGCAGTGGATTTTACATACGTGTAGATGGCAACAAATGTTTCTGGCACCATTCCCACCAAGGAGCCCAAGAGATAAGGAACATACTTTACATTTGTTGCCACAGCACAGTAGTTATAAATAATGTAGGGGAATGGAGAAATCCTGATTAATGTTACAGCTCGAAACTGATTAAACCAGTTTCCTTCACCAGCTGATCTTAGAACGGACGCTCTCTTTGGGTATTTTTCTAACCATCCCTGCATAAGAATGGAGAAATGTTAAGTTAAATTAGATTAAGTGCCTTCGAACACACACAGAGAGAGAGAGAGAGAGAGAGAGAGAGCAATAACCCAAAAAAAGGAAGAAGCTAAGTTTAATACAGCGGTTACGCACTTGAATTTTATGATAGAAGAGAGAGCCAAGGAAAAATGGAAGAGATACACCCACAGTTGCTGCTGACATGATTAGAAGAAATCCATAGCCATAACCAAAAGTCATACCAGCCACCCACATAGAAGGTGACGATGGTAAAAGTAGGGTGGGAAATAATGCAACAGAAGCAAAGACAAGAACTGCAAGCACTGGAGTACTGAATGTCTTTGTCTCCCAGGTTATAATTGGAATAATCTCCTGTAGACGACTTCATCATTAGTTAGCTAGTAAAAGACTTTATATATGAGGAAGTACGTCACAATCTCTCAAAGTTGGAAACAAAGCTAGTTGGAACAGGAAAAGTAACCAGCAATCATTTATAATACCATTTAAGATAAGACTTAATAGCAGTACTGCATTCTTAATATCCTATGTTTCTTCATCAACGCAACAATTATTTTGGGCAGACACCATGCAATGAATTAACAGGGATACGAAATTATCTACTATCTAAAGTAATATAATTAAAACTCCGCTTAAACCTTCGAAAACAGACTAGGGGAAGCAGAACTTTGTTCTGAAGTGGGCTTCAACTTAATTTGTATGCCACATAAATGACTGCAGCCATAAATATTTCCAAAGTTCACCACAAGCTCCAAATTATAATCCAAAAAGTACTACATGAGTACCCAGTAGCCATTTCATCAAAACTCAAATTAGACGTGCCTTGTATGCAAGACAGAGCTATTCGTACAAAAAGGAAACGCGTTCCAGATAAAATTTTATAAAAGGAACTCAAACAATTAATCAAAAACCATTCCAGTAGCAGAACCACCAGACGTAGGTTGATTGCATATAGAACAAAAAATTCATGCATTCCAATATAAACTTTACACAGCCCTTTATAAACATGTACTAGACAATATGAAATCAAGAATATAAAAAAAATCAACCACAGTTTTAAATACATTGCCCTATGAAAGAATTGAACGAAACCCAAAACCCAAATACCGAAAAACAGAAAAGAAAAAGCACTAATTACCTTATCCATGAAGAAAGGTCCAACCCATTTGACAAAAACCCCAGCCAACAAACCCAAGCACATGACCAACAATACCAACCGAACCCAATACCACAGAGACGCTAACTTTTTCGGGGAAGAGGGCTCCACCGGCCCCTCAACCCCCTCCGCCGGTCCGCAATCGACATGATCACCCCTCAACTTCACATAGTCCCTTTTGTCATCTTCACCCCCAATTCTCAAAATCAGCTCCGGCACCACCTCTCCCCGATCCTCACTTTCGTCATAGGTCATTGAAAAACCCAAGAAATCTGGCCGCGCCAAACCCCAATTGGCCCCCTTTTCGGTTAGAAACTGTGAGAAATTGGGGGAATTTGGAGCCCTAGGAGAGAGAGTGTGCCGAATGTGAGGGGTTTCGTGATCAATCAGAGAGCCGCGGCCATGAAGACTGGTAGATGTGCAGAGGCGATCAATGGAATCACAAACACACGCAAACACAAAGACAAAAACTCACAGAGCCTATAAGAATTAAGAGCAAGTTATACCTTCACAACAAAGATGCTATATATTATATTACTAAATTTACGACGCTGCCACCTGCCAAAACGGTAACGTTTGGTTGATTGTAACGCGTGGCGTAAGGAGAAGGAAGGAAGTAACATGTAGAGTAACGGTAAGATAGAATGTCGGCTTGCCGTTTCTTCACCGTCACGGTGGGTGTGGGGCTGAGTGGAGTTGAGTGACTCACTGAGCCGACTCGCTCAGTGTTGGTCCTTTGGATTTTTACGTTTATGTTTATCTTAACTCGGTATGTTCCAAATTGGAAAATTTAGTATTTGATGTTTTGAATAATTATTGTTGATACAAGAGGATAATATTAATTAATATTATGATTTAATTTTAATCCAATAATGTCAAAACACAATTATGCGAGAGGAATAATTGACCAAATAACATAGGGAATTTATAATTAGGGTTTTGACAACCAAGAGAAACAAAAAATTGGGGTTGGACAGGACAACGGGAAGAGAATCAAAAGCTACTATTTGTGGAGGTTTGAGTTTGCTGGAAACATGATTTGGCAAAACTAGACTTGGAAGGTATCGAAAAATAGATCATGCAAATTGTGCCTTGTAGCAATGCACACAATGAAAGGTGTTAAGTAAAGCAAGCAAACTCCACCCAATTAAGCTATGTACTACTAAAGCTAGGTCCTTTACTTCAGCTAATTAGCTTTATGATTTTTTTTGCTCTAGTCATTGGTTTTATAAATTATACCTTTGTTCTCTAAAAGTTTTGTATGACATTCTGAATATTGGGTTCTTTATTAGGGTTTGAATCATCAAAATATCTAACTATCAATTGAGAAAGGAATTTGGGTTACTCAAGTCATGTATGAACCGATTTTGGAAGAGGTCTTTCATGTAAGATAGTCTATGTTTTAGTATCATGCTTTTCTTTTCCAATCTAGATACTTTATAGGGGGACTCTCTCTCTTAGCGCCTTGACCTAGCAAAACTTGGGCTCTCCAGATCCAGCGCCGCATCTTCTCTTTGTTTTTTATTTTCTTTTGCGGTTCGTGCTCAAGCTTTCCTGCTCGTTTTTAGGGCTTCATGCCTCTAGGCTTCTAGTCTCTTTGTTAGGGCTTTATGCCTCTATGGTGGCACAATTTGAAGACTTATTCTTTCAAAATTTGAAGATATTGTGTGTACCGGTCTTGGCGGAATATGAACACTCAATTAACAGTCCTACGACCAGAAACGTAATTAGGATTAGGATAGTTGTTTTATTGTTATGATAATATACCAAATATCATGGTTGAAAACAATTGGTCTTGCCCATGCTAACTTAATAAGTCATTGCATAAGATGTCTTTAACATTAATGATCATAGGATTATGATAGTTGTTTTAAGGGCATATACCACTAACACATGCATGTCTCACTCTTACTAGGATTAGGATGAGTTTCCTTTTTTCTAGGAAAAGAAATCAATTTCATTACTTATTGAGGATTAGTTTTGACGTAGGACTAATAAACCTTAGACAATTAGGTAAGTTTAACTCGCCATATATTTTTAGGGTTGTTTGATTTTATTTATTTTTGGTTAAAAGTCGGTTTGGTTTTTTGTTTTTTGTTGTTGTTGTTGTTGTTGCTGCCGTATTTCATTATTTTTAAAGATTTCGGTTCTATTTTGTTTTCCTTTTTTAATTTTGAATCGAACCAATTTATTTCTCTACTATGCTAATAAAGGCATTTGTCAACTTGTGGTGGAAGGGGATTCCAAACTTTTGATTGATTGCTTAAAAATACATCACTTCATCTCTTGCCTCATCAATCCCAGCCCCACAAAATTAAACTAATCTTGTCTAATGGTTGTGATTCTAAATTAAACCAGCGCAAAATAACAAAATAACATAATAAATTAATTTCCGAAAGTGGATATGATTGAAATAAGAGCGAAATTCTAGAAAAAGAAACTCAAAGTTGAAGGGCTCTCTCCTATCTGCATCAATGTCAGTCTGTTGGCAACTTGAACCTGCAAACAGGACAGGTATGCCCTAGTTTTAGCCATTCAACAACGCAGTCTCCATGAAACACATGAGAGCATGGCAAACGCGTGACTTGATCCCCATTCACCATCTTCTCCAAGCAAACCACACACTCACCTCCTCCTCCCTGAAACACCAACTTCTCCAAGGCCTCAACTGATGCTTTGCTTGCAGGTTTTGGTCTCAACAGTACTGCAGCTTCATCCAACGACTCCCTTACAGCAGCCTCCTCTGTTAGTAGGGCTGCTGCTGCCCTACGAAGTAGTTGATTCCTTTCTGTCAATAGCCTCAGCTCCAAATCTTGAAGACCCTGCAACCGCCGAAAATCATCAACATAACCCTGTCCTAATGAGGCCAAACCTTGCCTCAAATCCTCGACCCGAACCTGCAGTTGCATTAATCGATATTGTGTTTGTGGTAATATAATCTCCTTCTCCACGGTGACAAGTATATCCAGCCTCCCAAGTCCAGAGTGAGAAGCTGCTTGGCTAGCCATGGCTTTAACAACAAGCACTATTTTCCTTGTCATAGCTTCAACGTCCTCTAATGGCTCTGTGTTTCCAATGTAACGTTTTCTCCAGCGTAGCCTATCTAGTGGGAATGGGATGTCTATGCGAGATAGCATGTTTGATATAATATTGCAGGTATTATTGGATGTGAATAACTCGAATGGGTACTTCTCATTAGATTCATACCATGTATTGACGTCTATAATCGGCCTTGTGTTGGTGCCGGTATCCGAAGAAGAACGGTGGCTTCTAATGAACTTCCATGCAATTGAAACCTGAGAGTGAGGAATCGAAAGCGACTCATGATCCGGGAAACCTCTGTTCTCTACCTTCACAAATACACTATATTCAGGGTCGTAGCTTCTTCTGGGAATGAGAACCTGCATCTTTTTGAAAGAAGTACAAGGAAAACGATAATTTAAACTACAAGTGACCGGGTTTTTCGCACATACACATTATAAAGGGAGTTAAAACCTGCACGTTTTCACTTAGAAGAAAAGAGATGCAAAAGGTTTATTGTTGTGTGCTTCTTTTTTAATTACCTTTCCCTTTGTAATGGTGATCCCTGTACTACTCCTACTACGACCAGGATTACTAAATTTCTTTAATTTTACTCAATGGCTGATTTCCGTTTTGGCCCCTACCAAACTAAACTTGAAAAAGGATAGTTATTGCCCATCATCATACACTAGTATTAAGTAATTATTATCTTACTGAAAAGAAAAAAAAAAGATTGTGGTAGAAATTTCAATAGCTAGCCTTGTGTTTGGTTGGGCATCTATTTTTTCTTGTTGAGAGATTATTTATTTATTTATTTATTTGCTGAATACATGTAAATGGGTTCCAAGTTGTTGAGCTTTATGCTCCTTTGCTTGGTTCAATTCCCTAAAAACCAAAACAAAACAAAAAGATTTTTGCAATTGGCTTAAGTTGAAATCTGAATTTCGAATCAAATTATAATGATGCCACACACACAAGCGAATACTGTTGAATTTGAACTCAATACCATTTGGAAGCACACCAAAAATCTAGAACGATTCAACTAACATCTCATTGGTTGGTTTAAGTCCTTCAATAACATCATGTTTGCAAGGATTCACTCACAACATACACATTCCAATCAAGCTATATATATAGCAACATGATTAAAGAAATTGCATCGAGCCTTTGTGTAAGGTTCAGTGTAATAATAAAATATTTCTAATACTATTATTGTCGGACAAACTTAGTTCTACAAAGGAAGACAAAAGATTAAAACAGAGACTTCAATTAACCCTTTGTCCTACAACCTATATATACTTACTCTTCTCCATGCAGATCATAGTACTCATTATTAATACCATAATTTACTCCATCAATTTTGATTAACTTCCCCAATGCCTCAACCAAATATTTTGTTGCAGGCTTTGGCCTCAGCAGTCGAGCTTGATGGTCATCTGATATCTCCTTCATCAACATTCCCATTTCTTATCAATATTTCATTAACATCCAAACTTTCTCCAGAATTAATATTAATATAATTGTGCAGCCTTGCAGCGGCTGCACGTGACCTTATTTCATTCCAATGCAACCCAGCCAATCGCCACCTTAAAGCATCAACACTATTTGGTCACATGCCTCCTCACATGGCATCGCTGTTGCAGCAAACCTTCACGTGAAAGCACAAAACGGAAATCCTTTAACATATGTTCAACCTCCCTCCTGGGCCCCTACCAAATTGAAACTTGTAGTTTCTTTAATTTTACAAGGTGCAACTAAACTAAAATTGAAAGAATATATTTAGGGTTAATTTCAATTTAGTACTCTGAACTCTTACCTTTAAGGCACGTTTGCCCCTGTACTCTCAATTTTAACGATTACATACCCTAAACTTTTCAATTTTGTGCAATTTGGTTCCATGCGTTAACTTCATTGTCAAAATTTTCGTTAATTGCTTGCATGACAAGTTTGGGTCCCATCTATTCACTTATTTCAATGTCAGTTGAAGGGTATTTTGTTAAAAAATGATTTGGTATTAATGCGTATAATGTGTTCTTCATGGGCTGGAAAACATCAATTACACAAAAGTACTCTTCAACTGACATCGAAATAAGTGAATAGGTTAGGTGAGACCCAAGCTTTCCATGCAATAACGAAATTTTTGATGTCAAAGTCAACGCCGGAACCATATTGCCAAAAATTGAAAAGCTTAGGGTATATAATTGTTAAAATTGAAAGTGCATGGGCAAATGTGTCTCAAAGATAAGAGTTTAAGGTACTAAATCCTTATATCTATTTCCAAGCATTATTATACACTTGGGGGTTAAGGTGGATTGTTTTTTTTTTTGTTTTTGTTTTTTGTTTTTTTTTTGTGTAGTACCTTTTTCGCAAGTTCCGACTTGTATTGTAGGTGCTTTAAGTTTGTAGCTTCGACCAATCCGCAATGAAGGTAGTGACTTGTAAGTGAAGCAATTAGCAAGCTGCACCTAAA